CGACAGCCTCCAGGGGCGTGCCACCGGAGGCCTTGGATTCCCAAGTGACGAGCTTTCGGTAGGAAAGAGAAGGCATTGATATTTATATATATATATATACACTCCGATTCCTTGACATGGAAGAACCCCCTGTTTGTAAAGGAAGGGAGTCTTCCTCTTTGGGCCACTTTCCAATGCCACTTCCATGTTGGTGAGTCAGAGTGTGTATTATATATATACATTAATACATATATAATATATATATATATTATATATGCATTAATATTTAATGTATTCTCATGGAGATATTTCTCATCAAAGGCACCAGCATGCACCAGCTATTGCTTGAGAGGTGCAGGCTAGGATGGGCTGCCCTCCGTCCTCCTACTGATCGAGTGAAGGGCTCAACACCAGTTGATCCATCTGGCAAGCTAGTCAGTCGAGCGAAAGGGCCAAGCTAGGCGTCCCCGACCACTTTCTCCACCGCATGAGCTAAAAGGTTCAAATCCTGTCAGGGAGACGTGCACGAACAGAGCGGCCACAAGGAAGTATAAGGAAGTGATGTCCCAGCGTGTTTCGGGGATGCGGACGGGACATCTATGGACCGCCCACCCCTGTTTTGTGTGTTTTCGGACCACCCCTCGAGAGGGGACTGGAGATTCTCGGAAAGCTTCAAAACATCCGACGAACGCGCAGTGGAACGAAGTTAGGACATCTAAGCTAGCCTGCCTTGTTGTAGGGCAGCGCGCCCTTGAGGTATTTCTGGGACCTCAGTGTGAGTGCCCTGAAACACGATTGAATTTGGCCAATGAATGGATGAACCCATCGGAGATAAATCCCACAAAGGCATGTCGCGTGGCCAATGAATGGATGAACCCATCAGAGATTAATCCCATAAAGACATGCCGCGTGTCTTACACTCAAACAAACATAGAAGTGACACGTGACCCCATCATGATCCCCTTGGACCGGGCTTGTCCACTTCAGTTGTTGAAGAAAGGGTCCGACATATAGCAGCAGTTGACCCCCGTCGGGGTGCTTAATGGAGGATGGGAGTTCAACTCCTGATAGACCTGATAGAGGCCATATACACTCCTTGGAAAAAATCGTAGCTACCACGGAGTTCAAGCCACCTGCTTGGTCGGATTTCATGGTCTTCCGAACTCGCAGTGTAACCACCGACGTAACCAAGGGATGATCGCTCCTAGAGAGATCAGAACTCACGGAAGATCGAACGACCACCGCCGATACGATCGAATGATGGTTCTAAGCCAACTATTGGTTTGCAGAGATTGTTGATGTTTATAGGTGTCTCTAATTGTCCTTCAAAACTGACAGTTTCCCAAGGCCATCAATTCCTTAATCAATCCTTTTATGAAAAGACTAACTAGCTATTCCTAAACAAATGTTCAAGGTAGTAGACCAGGAAGGCCCCTGATCCTCAATATTAAATGTGCTTAAGGGTCCTCAATTGTGCGAAGTTGTTTCCTGAAAAAATCGAGTAAATCTCAATATTCTTAAGCCTGCTTGGATGAGAACCTGAGAACCTTCTCTGTACCCTCCTTTAGTATAGTATAAAAGGATTGCTGAGAATATCTACGTAGAACATGAGGAAGGAAAATGAAGAATTCTACTAATTGTGAATACTACAATCAATTGCAAAAGAACCCTCCCAGGAATCCACATTGGTTTTGGTGGTAGTTGGTTATAGAGGACCCCCCCCCCTTTGTCTAGAGGAGCGGGGGGCCCCCCTTACTAATCAGGATCAAACATTAATTTGGTGGGTTTGCACTGGATTGAACTTACCCGCCACAAATAAGTAGGTCAGAGTGGATGTATGGTAGATGACTTAGCATGCAGGTGAGCACTCCATTGCATTCCCGTTGGATCTATGCGGTTCTTTGGCACATCAAAGTCTGCGTGCCACTCTGCTCCCATGAGGACAATCTGCACTAGGATTTGCTGAAGCCACATTGTTTCGAAAGCACTTCCCTGACAAAGTTGCTTTGCATTGAAGCCGATACAACCTTTGCATAGACAACCCGGTGGATTGAACAGCGCGCCAGTGGCGGTGATCAAGACCCTCATGTGAGCAATTGGAAGTAAATTCCTGCATGTGTCATGTGTGTCAAGCCCTGTGAAAGTGAGAATTACAGGGGGATGTATCTCCTGTGGTGGAAATAGATGTGTTCTACCATGGAAGCTTGCCACGTCCATCTCTTGAGCACCTGGGGGTGCTAAGCGGGTACTTCTTAAAAGGCCCAGCATGCGCCTTCGCTCTACGGCGACGCTGTCAAGCGACTAAGGTTGGTTTCGCGTTCCCAGGGCGCCACCGTGCGTTGCATACACGTTCCAATTGCGTGATTGAGTCCACTTAAACATAAACACTGTCCTCATGCAGCAATGTAGGACAAGAGCTCATTCGTTTGTTCATCGGATACGTAGACATGACGCGAAGAGCATCCGTCTTCTAACAACAGAAGACATTAGATACCGAGCGTTATTACCACCCCAGCCCATCCCCCCCGTGAACGTGCATCAACTACACTTTCCTCATGTATCGTAGACAACGACGACCAAATATAGGCCAACTACACGTGCGGTTTTCAAGGCCTTAGCATAAACAAGCACTGATTTAATTCCAATTGATTGTCAAAAAGCGTTGAACCCCATCTGAGCCATCCTTTCCCTTAATGGTGCGTGCTTTCGGCTGGGATCCCCTGCATAGCTTTTCGGAGGGTCTTGGCAAAGGCCAAGCCCTGAAGATGGAGCCCAGGAGGAAGAAATGATTCTGCTGTGGATGTGGATGGATTTGAAGCAAGCTTGGAGGATCATTAAGGGATATATATTATATACTGTCATTGGATTTCCATGCTGAGTGGCTGAAGCACACGAGAGCACACAACAACAACCGGCTACTAGAATACAGGTCAAATGAACCGGAAGCAGTACCAACCTACTACCAAGTACATGGCACGTTTTCGTCCTTTTGGCAGCGGCATCATGAGGCATCGAGGGGTGGCACACGACATGTTCTCCCTATAGGGATAGGATAGGTCAAGACCGAGCCGGGTAGGTCAACTGGTCTCCCGATTTGGAACCCGGTAAGCCATATGATATTCATAGCTGCCTAAGACTTCGCCTCTGTATCGTCACACTTCCAACGGCCCGAACAGGTGAGGGGCCTCACCAATTTCGCCCCAAAACATCGCCCCTCACCTGGACACCAACGGCACCCGCAAAGGTCTTCCCCACGACATTCGCCACCTCCACCTGAGGACGATTGGGCTCCACCGGCTCGGGTGAACGCCTCACGGATGGTTCGGGCGATCGATTTTGGGTTCGGCTCGAGGGCCAGGCGAGTTAACTAACTCATTGGAGCTGCCGAGTCGCACGCGGCGAGGAACTCGAGGAACGTTTTGGGTCTTCCAAATGGCCATCCTCAAAGTCAATAGGCCCTATTTGGATCTATTTGGTAGACTCATCTTGCAAACCAAGGGCTTTTGGTGTGAGAGCAGCTGTGTGAATGGCAAGTGAATTTCATCCCGGACCGGAGTCCTGATTCCAAAGTGTATGTAGCAAAGGGGGGCATAGTTTAATCAGCCAGTTTGTTCGAACCCATCAAACCATGCGATCCGGGTGAAGATCCAAAATCTGAGCAGTTCAATCAGTTCTTTGAACCCATTCCCACTGTATTTGAGCCTCGCCAGCACAATGGTCCCTTCCACCTTCATGCAGCCCGGCAACGTCAGCCAAGCTCCTCTTCAGAAACTGCGGCGGCATGCTGGCGGGACAGTCCACCGTCACCCCCAAGCGGGACAGCAGGCGGATGGGCGGAGGTCCACCGCGCCTGGCCGGGGTAAGACGGACCCAGCCGCTGAAGTGGAAAACGACAATGGTTGATCGCGCCCAGAACAGAGATTCAGAATGCATTGTTGATGTATTTTACATTACAGTATATATGTTATAATGTTATATAATATTGCATGAAATCGTCCAGTCCAGCTATGCAACCATAGCTTTGGTCCGGGAGGGGGGTCGGTTTGGGATAGACCAGGGCAGGGTCGTCCCACTTCGCTGCTTAAAAGCAGCACGCTGATGTTGGCAGCTTGAGTTGGTACAAACCACAAAGAGAATTTCTGCCCATCGGTTGGCTGCTTGGAGAGATGGGCACTGATCTAATTGGTTCTTGTTCTTTGTCCATCGCCATGGTCCTCCTCAGAGATGTGGGGAGAGACCAGCACGACCAGCACATCAAGCAGTCAGACTCGTCTGAACCATGGATGGCGCGTAAAGGTCCTCATAATCCATCGTCTGAAGCAATAACTCAAAGTATCTCGACACATCCAATGAACATCGAAGCTTCACTTTAGCTGCGTTGTTTTCGAACATTTGCATAAGGTTATGCAAGTTGCCTGTAGAAATGAGAGAATCTCAAGAGCCCAAACAGTTTTGCATGCTGGCACACATGAGTCCCCTGCCAACATTTGCTCAGTTCGAGTCAAAGAAACAGGTTCTTCCTGTTTAACCCTGAGACATTCAAACCTGAACCTCTTATAACCTGCCATCAAATCGGTAGTTAAGTGTCTTGAAACAGGGCAGAAGACCATGAGCACCACCCCGTGTCACTTGTCAAAGGAAACATCGATGAGCAAACCCGCCATTCCTTTTTCATTTCTTCACGAATCAAAGAACCGCGTGGGAATGGGAAGAATTATATACAACTGTACAGCCTCCAAACCCAGCAGAATTGGCAAAGTGGTCATGGCTGAAAATCGGGTTTTACCTTCCCATGGGGTTTTCGACTTACAGCTGTTCTGCAAGAAAAGCTTCGGACGCCCTATGTTCAGCCACAGCCATGTAATACCTTACCCGCCTTCTGCTTCAGTTTTGCTCCAAGTTTCTGTTTCTCAGAGCACCCGAGAGCAAAGGCAGAAACAGGCATTGAAAGCTCACAGAAATCGATGAAGTGCTGTGGGTCAGACACTCAAAGATTGTCAGAACTTTGGTGAGCTTTTAATTCAAAGCTCCTCAGAGGCTCCCTCAAGCTTTGTTCTTGATAGATTCTCCTGCACGCAAATGCACTCAGGGTCCAAATGATTCGGCCTTTGATTCATCCAACATCAGGTTCTCTCCACCCAAGCTCCCCAGACTGTTGTGGGGGTCTCAAATCGGCGTGCCAAGCTCAGTGAAACTCTACGTATACTGAAGTCACCCAACCAAAACAATCTCTTCGCAAAGTTGAATGAAGGGGCCACGAAATGGTGCGCTAGTCTAGGGCCCTGACCGACTATGACTATTGGTGGATCTTTACATAGTCAATTGGATCCTTACGACCGGTTTGTTTCGTGGGAGTGGTCCGCTCGCTTGTTCGACGTCGAAGAGATGGGGCGCTTGTTCTGGCGCCAACGACGGGTGTCAAACATTGTAAAATAACGTATGACATACGTGTGGCCAACGACGCTGCCTTGGAGCTTGTCTGCAATAAACCAAGGAAATGTTGGCGCCGCTTCCGGATGAAGCTCTGGAGGTTCTGAAGAACAGGAGCATACCGCCTCAAAGTTGTCTGAGGCAGCACCACCCAGTCGGATGAGGATTTGGGCATCAGTCGAACGCCAATTGAAAAGGGGGCCCTTAATCAAGGGCCAAAAATATCCGAAAATGAAGACCTGGCCAGCGGCTTTGACACACGTATAGGGACAATGAGATTTCGGCTTTGTTTTTTTTTAGCAAGAGGTTAGGGAACTCCCTGTAGCTCTGGACGGCTCCCTGTTTAATCGAGAATATGCTATTAACCCCGGCTCCTTAGCTTCCCCCTCAGCACCAGCTAGTATCATTGTCATGGTCTTCTTCAGGTAAAATATGGTAAAATGATCTAAACAGTCCCACATAGTCCAACCACACCAAGCTAAACTTGGAACAAGTTGGCCCCGAGATTGTTGGATAGGCAAAACAAGCAGAATCGCCCTCAAAGAGTCCTTGATGCCCAACATTGCCAAACATACAAAAAGCCAGCACCAAGTTGCAAGCACGCAAAGCCCTCCAATGCTATAGTGGCCTGAATTTGCTGGCTCCAGACTTCGCAGCGGCCCTGTGAAAACTCGACGCCGCTGCAACCCAGTCGGCCCGTGCAGGACCACATGCAGGCGTCCAAGGAGGTGTCTGGGACCACCTAGCACTGCTTGGTGTCCGGAACAATTCTGACTAGTGCGATGAAAGTTGGGACTTGGATGAAAGTTGGGAATCTTTCTGTTGGGGCTCATTTCCTCACTCTCTACCAAGTGCGAGTCGGATCAGGTCGGGTCATTCTGGCTGTGTCAACGGATGTAAATCTCCATGTGTGCAAGCGAAGCCCAAGAACACATTGGGTTCAGCCAAAGGCCCCCCAGCCAGTCATCGATGTTTGCTCAATCAAAATCAATGGCTCGTTGTGGGTCGGTATCCTGCGCTGTTGGAGACCCATTGGCCTCATAGTAGCTCATCAAGTTGTCGCTTTTGTGAGCTCCACGACATGCTTGCCCTGGGCCATTCACCTCGTACCAAAGCGAGAAGTCTTCAACAGAATTCAATCGCCAAAAAGCCATTGGAATGGTATGGAATCAACGCACTGCAGAAAGTTATCTCAAAAGCACACCGCAATAAGTAAGAATTAGACCCCTTCTTACTATTGCCATAGACATCAACTTTCTAGACTTTTTGAGATCAGTCATTCTCACTGTTCGCCCACCTCTCGAAAGCTGGGACCTTCAAGGGCTAAACATGTGAAGTTTGAAATCTCCGCACTGGCGTGGATGCTTCGAGTCCATACTTCGCATCGGCCCAGCGAAAACTCGATGCCTCGGCGAAGGATGGAGAGTAGAGGAGAGTCCGCGGTGAAGGATGGGCTGCTTGCGATGGAAAACAGTCTGGCAGTGCAAGAATGAGAAAGATCTCACCATCAAAGGATACCTAATCTGTACTTTTCCCGTTGTCAGAAGTTCTTCTGGGTGGGAGGCCAACGGCACCACAAACACCAAAAGATTCCTCGGACACTCTTCAAACCATGCGTTATAATCTCACCATTTTATGGCAAGGTACCAGTGCAATCCGGATCTTGCAAACATGCTGCTTTGCAGTCAAAGAGGCGGCCAATGGGAAGGACCTTGCCATGAGTTTTCAGCACTTCAACGTTGCCATTGAGTAAGCTACCAGAAGTATTGGACCTACTGTAAGTATCATTTCCGCGAATTTGTCCCGGTTCCAAAGCACAAAGGGCCCCTTGGTCAGCACACCCTCCACATACCACTTCCCTCTCAAGCCTTCCCGAGATAGGTGTACATGACACCACCCTCCCAAGGTTTCATGCCCTAAGACTCCCATCATTACCAGAAGTGTCCCTCCCTCCCTCCCTTCCTCCCTCCACATGACATCACCACCCATTCGAGTCCATTTGAGGATCCTGTTCTTCCTATCCAGGTGGGATCTGACCTTCGGGCCACCTTCATGTACTCCGGCGAGTTGTCGCTCGCCGTTTGGCCGCGGCAAGCCCTATGGCCACCGTCCACGGGGCGCAGGGCAAAGGCACCCGGCGGTTCCAGCCGGTAGCAACCTCGGAGCGCCGGTGCGCCGCAGCGGTCAGCCGCCCCAGTGGATCCAAGCGGCCTCTCCGCCACTATGGTGGCTATAAGATGCTATAAGCATTCATCAGACTCGGTAGGTGGAGTAATATGGGTCATTTTGAGCTCTACCCTTTGGATCTATCCAAATGGTTTGAGAGAGCGTTCTCATCATGCTTCAGGATCAACTATGTGCAGGTGTTACCCACGCCTGTTCTGGTTTGTAGTTCATGAAGCAAGTGTCAGTCTTCCGCAACTCAAGCAAGTGTCTACCTTGCTGAACTCATAAGGCCTGCCATTTATGCTGTGTTTTCCTGCTCTTTCACCACTACCCTTGTGCTCTTCGACCACCCCCGAAACCTTAACCCCCACTGCCGCCCACCTTCCAGTCACAAACCACGCCACTGAAGCCCCTGAGCGGCTTGGTGCTTCGGATGCCGCCCGGGCGGGTCCAGACTTCGCAGCGGCCCGGTGAGTACTCCACACCGGAGCATAGGGGCTGGTCCAAACAGGCGTGTTGACAGGCCTGAAACCACGGCGGTTCCGGGCGGTTGACAGGCGCGGTTCATGGTGTGCCGGTTTTGAGCTGTTTTTGGTTGAGGCGTCTTGTAGATGGCTGCGAACACATGCGAACACAGATGTTGAGGACCGCATGGCAACTGGCAAACAAAAGGAATTGACTGCTATGGGTTGTTGGGTATTTTCTGAGCTCATGGGGCTGCTCATGGGATATAGACCCTCTTTCACTAGTGCTGCTCAACCTGTGGAGGTTGGGAGGCTGGTTCAAATGGGAGAGATGACCCAAAGGCGCTTGTTGGGAAAGTGACAGATATCATTCTTGGGGTCTTGGTGTTGGTTGCATTCTGGACCTTGATAAAGGTCGGTTCGTGTGAGGTGCTGCTGAAAAAGTATGATTTCATGATCTACGGTCTGATCCTGCACGCCAAATGGCGGGCTTTCTGAGAAGAGATCCACATACCTTCTGAGAAGCCAGGGAGATCCAGCCCCGCCCCGATTTCGCACCTTTTCAGAGGAAATGTGAATCGGACATCTTGCAATCTGGCCTTTCCGCATGCATGCGATATTCATGTGTTTCCGCGCTTAAAAACAGAACTGCGCCTGTTATGGCCTCAAAAAGGAGATTTCAACAACCATGAGCCACAGCTTTCCAGAAGCAAGTAGATTTCAGTTATGAAGGTACTAAAACATACTAAAACCACGACCCATTCTTTCATCGATATTGCAAAAAGAGCGCCCCCTCTCTTCCACTGAGCTTTCGGAGAAACATGCCGCCCAAACTCACTCAATCTCCATCTACGGCGCCTCCAGCGATGAGGCCTCCACCACCACATAGTAAGTGGCATGGTTGTCGGACGCTGAGGCCCCACGACAGGCGCGATCTTCCCCTCCTTGAGGGCGAAGAGTAGGGTGAGTCGAAACAAAGCAAACAGTTGCATCTCAGGAAGCAGCAGAATGACCTTAACTTTCGCCTTTCGGGAAGCAGCAAGATGACCTAAACCATGACATCGGATCATGACCATCATGAAGACCGATGAAGACCATATGACAGCATGATCAAAGAGCAGTCAACGAGACAGGCAGCATTTCATGAGACAAGCAGTCCCACGGTCCACGAGTGGAGTCGAGCACGGTCCGCTTTGGGGTTCGATGTCTTTTACCGGCCTGGAGTGGAGTGGAGTCGGACGGCAGCGGTGTTGAAGCACGAACAACATGAATGGTCGAATGGTCGACCGGATTTCAGGGGAACCAAAACGAACCGAAGGTGCACACACCTGGTATAGTCAGAAATTTCAAGGGCAGTTGACCAAGATTCTTCCAGTAAAGGCAAAGGAAAATAATGAAACATGGCTTCGAAGCCTAGGGTAGACTATGACCGTAGATTCTTGACTTGCGGAGGCAGCAGCCAGGTGACGCCCAACCAAGAAAACCCTCCCTTTCCACTCTCCCAAGGTGACGCCTTCAGCGGGTTGAAAGCCTGAGAGGAGCCAGATGCTCGTGGAGATCACGACGACCTGGTCAACACAGCTGAAATAAGGCCAACACAGCGGACATACGCGGAGCAGGTCAACACAGCGGAGGGCAGCAACAATGCAACGTCTTGAAAAAACTACTTCACGACTGGTGCGAAACGGTGTCCTTGGTCTTCCTGCCGAACCTAGACCGTCCATGACCATCCATGACTCCGGGTACTGTTCCAACGCAGTTGTTCTTCATCCATGACTCTCTCTCACATCGAAAAAGGATCCATATAGTTCCATCCATGTTCCATCTGGGGCTGACGAATGCATCCAGGAAATGTTCGTTGAAACAATGGAAACCTGCCGAGAATCGGATTCGCAATTCGCAACTTCGCTGAAACCGAGGTCTGCAGATCACCGAGTCTCCAGCGATCAGATTTGTTTGGGTCCTTAAATCTATATATTTCATCAAATCGATTTAAACATGCATATATTACAAAACCCATCTCAAAGGAAGAAGCTCCTCCACACGCTCAACTAGAAGACTCCGGACCCAACAAAGATATTCCCGATCTATAATCTCTAATAACTATGTCGATAACACAAAGCAAAATCATGAAAGTCATGAGGACCACCTTGTACATGACTCATGCGTTTGACCATAGGACTTTGACCTTCCCCAAAAAAACAACCAACTCCCCGGTCCTTCCAACGACCAACTCCACGGCACCGTGGTGGACAACGTGCTGGAGGACGCCGTAGAGCTCATGGATGTGGTGGTCCCTCTCCATGGAGAATAGACCGTGACCTTGGCGGCGTTGGTGGCCTCGGGCGTCAGGTCAAAGAGGTACTCCTCCTCCTGGCGCCGCATGGCGCGGTGTTGGACTCCGAAACGGATACGCCGGGCACCTTCGTTTCGGGGCACCGACGTCGGCGATGGGGTCGTTTTCTGCGGCCGACTGACCGGGTCTTTGGGCCAAACGGGAAGCCGTTTCGGAAGCTGTACGAAGTATTGTTTCGTGATGTTTCGTGTATATAATTATGTAATATAATATGCATGTATATAATATACATCTTTAAAGGACTTCTAGAAGTTCATTTTTCCCGTTGCATAAATGCACAAGATGAAGAAGGAAGACAAAACCAAAACCTGCGACCTTCCCTCTTCATAATTCCCCAAATGATTATGTCTTGGTCTCTATGTTGGGTCCTTTCGTGACCACCAACACCAATAGGAACCAACACCTCCCCATGGGCGATGAGTTCATTGAGCACACCACTATGTCAACATATTTCAACGCTTTACTATCTTTAGATGGAGTCTTTCCATATATGGGTCTGTATTGGAACAAGGACACCACACAATCTTGTTTACAGGTTCCTTTCACCAGGCTGGTCTCCCACATTTATGGACCAGCCAACTTGGGGCGGTGCCATATGTTCAGCTGATTTTCCAATCAAAAGAACAAGACTAGACGTGGAAATAGACCTTCGGACGAAGGCTCGAACACGCGACCTGCGACCTGCGGATGAAACGCAGCTGACCTCCAGTTGAGGTTTGGGCTTGTAGGGCCACACGCCATTGGGGCTGCCCACGGGACCGAAGCTTCCTTTCACATCGGCTTGCCAGGTGGTCACCCAAACCACTTCGCCAGCAGTTGTTGTGGTCCAGTCCTGCAAGTGGGATCTGCAAAGAATCTATAACTGCAACGATCTTTTGTTGACATCATCATCTACAGAACAAACTCCTCTCATTGAGATGGAAACATGTTTTCCCTTCATGTTCGACTCCACAGAGCGCATCCGTGTCCAACCACCGGGGCCCTTCTCATATAAGAAACCAGTGGCCGGTCCTGGTAAAGTGGCCAATGGGTCGATTGGGTCACGTCCATTTTCTCAGAGATCTCATTACCTCGGCCAAGGGCGTTCGCGGCTCGAAGCCGAGAAGGACGGGTCCTCCTCTAGAAGGATCGAGATGAACATGTTGCGATTTTTGCGAACCTGTTCTACCGCTTGATTCAAAACCCGTCTTTGTGAGATCTTCAGAACAATCGACTCGAACATGTTGTGGACACGAAACATGATGTTGGGATGAACCCACAGAGGTATCTTTTACCGACGGCAGCAACAAGGTGATGCCAGGTCACAGTCACCATCCACCTCCACGAGCCATCTGGTCCGGTCCTCCTTCTCATAGCCAAACAAGAACCTCGACACCCACAAAAACAATTTATATATAATTCCACTGTTCATAGACTCCAACCACCAGTGATTAATCTATAGTTGTAAAAATTAGTCTTTACATGTATACAGCTTTGAAACTACCAAGCCAGGTCCACCTATATACAGCTCAGAAAAACCTAATTATATGTCACCCTTCATCACCTTTTGCACTCTGAAAACTCCACACCGCCGTGAGGTCCGTTTCTTAAAGGACAACCCCCCCACGGCATGCACCGACGACCGGTTCGGGTCCGTCCCGACCGGTACGTTTTTCTCCGCTTCGGTGGGATGAACTGGAAGACGGATCGGGTGCACAAACTGTGACGTGGGCCAGTTCTTTGATCATGTATATATATATATACATATACTGTGTGTGTCCAACTCAACCATGTTGCCGCTTTGTTGCCCGACGCAGCCCAAACATATCCAAAAGACTCATCTTTCTGGATCGGTAAAATTGTGCTGTTGCACTTGCACAACTTCATGGTCCCAAAACCGCCACGCTTGTGGCATGTGGCCAGAAATGGCCAAAAAATTGCCCACTTGGGGCCAAATGATCGACTGAAGAATCCATTTTTGGGCGAGCACTGCTATAGAAAGTTGCAACACGCTGCTGGGACAAAAAGAAGTTGCACATTACCAGCCCTGTCCCTTGTCTCACCACGCGCACTTGCGTGATATTTCGATGGCCCTCCACACGGAAGCTTCTTTTCTCAAGGTTTTGGGGTCTTGTTTTTGGCGCCGCAGAATCACTTACTTGGTAAAGCGTCAGCCCAGCAACTGCAATAGAGCAAGCCTGCACCAAGACATTACATGGTGCTGCTTCACAGGCACGGTTTGGAAGCAACCCCTGACTCAGTGCCAGAACAGTGCAGGTGCGAGGGCGAAGTCAAAAATACCTCCGCCCTTCATCAAGCACAGGCTTTTCCCTCATGTAATGGATCCCCACCAGTCAAAAACTTTGTAAGTCACTATACTGTAAAGATCACAACTGTCGGGGCCGCACGTGGGGCCAAGGCAAGAGAATCAGAGAGCAGCAATACATGGAGACAATGTATATAAATGGAGTATCCTCCATGAGAAAATCACATGGAGGGGTCAGTCCTAGTCATTCTTTAGTGATTTCGTGGGGGATGGTGAATGTCAGCTCCCTAGAAAATGAGTGACGCAGCCTCATGAATCAGGTTTGGCACTCTAGTGAGAAAAAGTATCATCACTAGAACATGGACAGAATTTCCAAACGCAGCCTTTTCACCCGTGTGCCCGTGTTTGGCGCATCTTCGGTTTCGTCCGGCGCTTGCAATTTTTTAGCGGATCCTGCTTCTACGTGCTGTGACGAACCCCAACAGCAAACAAAAGCATGCAAAAGCTAAGTTCATTGAACAACAACTACAACACTCCGAAAATGCCGGCACGATCCGGCGAATCAAGTGGCTTTGGTGTCTCGACCAGCACCTGGCACACCCAAATCCTCAGACCCTGCCACACCCTACCATTCCATTTCTGCCTACCATTTCATTTCTGGCACTCTGGCCAGAAATGGAAAGGTAGGGTATCCAAGGGACAGCCAGACAAAATTCTCTAGAAAATGATGAGTGGTAGGGTTTGGGGTGGCACAACCTCATGTTCTAGTGGCTTTGGTGTCTCGACCAAGAGTGCCAGAAATGGAAAGGTAAAGTCTCCAAGGGGCAGATCCTCATTGTCTACTGGCTTTGGTGTCTCGACCAGTGCCTGGCACACCCAAATCCTCAGACCCTGCCATACCCTACCATTCCATGTCTGGCACCTGGTCCAGAAATCGAAGGTATCCAAGGAGCAGCCAGACCAAATTCACCAGAAAATGAAGGTTATAGGGCTTTAGGTGGCACCTCTTCATTTTCTGGTGGCTTTGGTGTCTCTACCAGCACCTGGCACACCCAAATCCTCAGACCCTGCCATACCCTACCATTCCATTTCTGGCCAGTGTTGGAAATGGAAAGGTGGGGTATCCCTGGTGCCCTACCATTCATTCCTGGCACTCAGGCCAGACATGGGAAGGTAGTGTATCCAAGGGGCAGCCAGACCAAATTCACTAGAAAATGAAAGTTATAGGGTTTTAGGTTGCACTCCTCATTTTCTAGTGGCGCTGGTGTCTCGACCAGCACCTGGCACACCCAAGTCCTCAGACCCTGCGATACCCAACCAAAATCGCTCCTTGCGCTCGTGTCCACTCTTTCCCCATGATATTCGGACTGAAAATTTGGGGTGTGTCTCACGTTCTAAGTTCTAAGTGTCTTCCTTGAGTTTTCTGTTTCTAGATCTTGAGGGTTTAAACTTTATGTCATGCTTTACTATGTGTTACTTATATTCCGTCTTGACTCATCATGATTCATCATGTTTGCTAGAAAATGAGGAACCTCACTAGAAAATGAAGGGACAGGTGGGATCAAGAAAACAATGTGATGTCTAGAAAATGACCTTGGAAGCATGCCTATGAGACCTGCGTGTCTTATATATTTTACAGTGAACTACACTCTATAGAAAATGCAATACCTGGCCCCTTGCCGGTGAGTTTACTACAGACGTCAACCTCCATTTTCTAGTCCAAATATCACAGGGGATAGTGGAGTTCCATGTTTCACATCGAACCCAATGACGGCAGGAATGGGACAGGAAGCAAAACCGAAAGGATGTTACTGCTTTGGGGGGCTCAAACATCTCAGGCAGGGGGATGGGACCCCCAAGTTGAACCATCGCACCAATCTACCCATCTCTTCCGCGTGGCCGGGCAGTTGCTCCACACAGCGCCTCCTCCTCACTGGAGCCCAGTGGAGCAATCCGCAACATTCGACCCTTGGCACCATCGCCACATGCGCCGCCGGAGGAGCCACACGGCATCTTGCCCACCTCACCGCGATGGCCGCGCGGAGCCACGGTGGCGGTGGGAGTCCAGGCGCCAGACGGTCACCGGAGTTGGACGCGAGACGGCCAGCTAACGTCGGGGTTCAGGTGGTGATCTTAGAGATGCTAGAATTCCATTGGGCCGTAGGGTTCAAGTACATGTCAGGTGAAGTTTTACCACTTTCAGATCCTGTCATTGAAGTACTTGCGTCCGACATGTTGTTGGGAAGATCTTGTAGGCTTGGGGATGCTGGGTTCTAGTTTCCCATCAGTTTATTTTGTCGTTGAAGAGTGAAGGTTGGACATGAGGTGCAAGGAATTCAGGCGCTCGCAGGGAGGGACTGCATGTTTCTGAATTCCGAAACAAACAATAACTTAACAACGTTAAAAAAACACTATTCCGCATGGAATGCTTGCAACGCGCTCTTGCTCGGGTCCTGCTCCTTTTGTATGCCTTTTGTAACGATCCTTCTGTCACATCCTTCTTACCATCCAGAATCCAGTTCCGTGTTCACCGAGAGGTTCTTCCCCCCCGTCCCCGTCTTGGTCTCCGCCCGAGGCGCCGATGGCTCGATGCTCTTCCAAGTGGTGATCTCCCCGAGTCGTGTGACCTTCGCACAAACGTTGCCCCCGACCTTTGCAATAATCCCCACGATCCAATCCTCTCCACAGGGGCGTAAGGCATTCCTTAGGCAACAAGTGTGCCATCATCTGCTGGCCATGCTCTTCCAAGTCCGGAAGGTGAAGTCTTTTTACATGAACAAACACATCTCCAGAAACATCATAGTAGGCGGTCCAAGTGTCGCCTGAATTCCGGTATCTTCTCCAAAGAGCATCTCCAAGCGCCCAGTCTTGTGCCCGGGATTGGCAAACTCCCCTGCTGGCAATTGACCGACCGACCCATTGGCCAGGCCATATTGCTGCATGTACACCGGGCCATGCGTGTGCTTCTGGAGGCCTCAGGGAGGTCGTTTCATGGACCGGCTTGCATGGACCGGCGGTTGAATTTGGATGTCTTTTCACGTCTTTTCACACTATCATCCTTGCAGCTCCGGATATTACTTCCAGAACTAGTCCTCTCAGTTGGAAGGTGGATGCTGGGAGGAAAATGAAAAACTGAAGGCCAGGCACCGCAGGCACATCACCAGAAAGACAGTTTTTTCCTGTCGAAGCGAACAACACCTTAATTGTGGAATAATTTTCATCAAACATCCTCAAGCATCCGCCTTCTCCCCTTCTGCACCCCTCTGCCCTCCCAATCTCTCTCCTTCGCCAAGCCGCCGATGTCCTTCAGCCGCGGATGATACCGCCAAGCCGCGGACGCTTGATGGTCTCCCGTGCCGGTGCGGTGGTGATCCCTCCAGGGACCCTCCGCCTCCTGGGAGCGACCCACGGTCTTTCGGTGCTTTCGGTGCGTTCGGTGAACGGAGTAGGAGTTACAGGACCGTGTACGCAACTTTACAAATTAGATGCAGAAAACGGCCGTCCAACTGGATCCATGTAGCAGGGTAAGGACCTCGGGGCACGGCAGTCACCTCCAGACTTCCTTCGGAGCAAGATGATGCTTCGGTGCGCTCCTCTCGAAGTTCCACCATCTCTCGTGGCACGGGGTACGTGTACTTGGCGTACTCCTCCTAGCGGGCAGGAGTAAGACCTAACCGACACCGGGAGACGGCCATTGTCATGTTTGAAGGGCAGGCGATAGAACATCATCTGTGAGTGACTTGCGTAGCCGGTGACACTGGATGGCGAATCATAATTCCTATAAGAATGGTGTTCCGTGGCAGGACTGGTAAAAGCGGCGTACTTAAGTCAACCCACCTCGCGTAAAGTCAACTCGCTGCATGGGCACAAGGATTCAGCGAGAAGTCAACCCACTCGCGTGAAGTTGCTTCATTTTGGTCAAAGCACTATGGGCCCACTTGAAAAATGAGCACGGCAGGAAAGATAGGAAAGTGATATGTTCAAGGAAAAGTGAGCGCACACTGTTATGGCTGGCATTTGGCCTTGCTTTCTGGATGTTTCAAGCCCAAATCTCAATGGCACAGCACCATTCACATCATTCACACATATTCACACCAACGCACAACTTAGAGAATAGGTTGCATGCACACACAAACACACACAAGTGACTATAGGCCTCTGCGCGAGCCCCGCGCGACCCTGCGCGAGGTTCGCGTGAGCACGACTCCTACAGTCGCCCTACAGCTTCCTACAGTCAACCAAAACAGAAGCAGCAGGAGCAGCAGCAGCCAACCAGAAGCAGCAGCAGCAGTGGAGCATGGGCGCAAGGAGCTCTGCATCAAAACTGTCACAAATCCTTGACCCTTCACCCCTGTGGAAGCTGCCCTCCCCCAAAGAACACACTCATAAATACAAACAAGTGACAATCAGGCACACCATGGGCACAACGCAAAACATGGGTTATAGATCAGTACAATCTATGCTTAGACATCCCTGTGGAGTGCACGACTTTACACAAGCTGAGTCGACTTAACGCTAGTACCTAGTAGTGGGTAGGGGCAACCAAACATGTTATCTCCATGTATGGATTCGCCCCAAAAAGGATCTCAAATTGGTGCACCCCAAAAACTGACAAGCATCGTTGATCAAAGAATTGCTTTCTCCGCATTGCTTGGAGAAGGTTCCAGATTCCTTTGTGACATTTGTAGCCCAGCTAAGGCTTCAAACTGACAAAGGGGCGATATTGATATCTATAATAGTCTACAATAGACAAATACAACGAGGGAAAGCACACATACACACATCATACCATTCGTTGCCGAGGAAAAAATATCCTTGCCGTTTCTCTCCTGGCTGATCTCTGGGGCATCTCGGTGATAAGTGTGCATTGCAAAGCCCGTGTGACTTCCCACCGTGGCGCCATACCACGCGGTCCACAACTGTTGCGCCGGCGCGTAAAGCAAATAGCCATAGCCCGCGGAGCGCTGGGCAAACCATGCCGTCAAGGGATAGGATCCCCAAATTCCAGTGTTTGGAGCGGTGGTGCTCTCCTGACACGCAAAAGGAGGGGAAGAAATGCGGGCAATGCGGGTAGGAAGAATTTCCAGGAACGTGAAGATCGTATTCGAAGATGAGGATTAACAATAGAGTATGAGCAATAGGATGCTCGAAAAACACACACACACACATAACAAGGTGACTCCCTAAGCAATGAGGTTGATGATGATGCTGACGAAAATGATGACGTTGATGATGATGATGCTGATGATGAAAATGATAGTGATTTGGATATGATGTTTTTGTGGATACCCGCAAACATCACTGAACAAGCACGTCTATATACCTACGACCCACTTCCAATTCCAAGACGGTGATGATCCGCGCCTCAGGTCGGCTGTCCGCCTTTAGCCCAATGCCAAAGGAATACAACAGCGTTCCAGCCGCACTAAACGAAAAAATCATGACTCCAAATGTCCTGGTACTGCTTCCCAATCTGCCAGGGCGTTCTTTGCCGAGTCATGGTGCTGGTGTTCACTTCGCAAACTGCCAAGACCATCGCAGCCTTGTCTAAATGGCTATTCGTGTGCCTCAGTGGTGACCGGGAAACAGAGTGAGAGCGTCATAAAACCCAGGTCAACTTGTTTCGACCTGGTGCCACCCCAAACAGCACATTGCATCTGTCGTCGCAGTTCAAGTGGAGGTGCAAACTACAACTGGTTCTTGTCCAACTGAGATCAAAATAAGAATTTGTTTTGGATCCCAGCGACTTGCCGGATGGAAGAACCAAACACGGTGTTCAGCCTGAAAAGTGCGTTGTTCAACACTTCTCTATATATTATACATAATATCCATATCCCAGGTCCACAAAACCAGGACACTCACTACATCTTCTTACTATAGTATCGAAACCTAGCTGTTGAAACAAACCAGAAAACATAGTTAACATGTACAAACGCCTTATTTACAGAATTCATCCATTCGGTGCCGATGTTCCTAAGATCCCACGTGCCACGCCTCAGGTAAAGGGCCTAGTGACTCGACCCATGGATGCCAATACTTCGCGCAGAGCATGCCGAGCACTCCGTCCTCAGTCACATCCACTCCGCCTGCACGGACGAAGCCCTCAAAAGCCACGCTGGACTCCAAGATTGCGGCACCTGACCGGAATTCCGGCATGCGGGGTTGTCCGACAAACCCAAAAGTTAATTACATATCCAATACAAGATATGTAAATAAAGAGAGCTGGCCACTTTGACCGTGTTTCTTTTTTCCTGGGTTCATTTATAGTCAATACAGCAAAGTATATAGCATAGGAGGAACAATATAAAGATGTGGTGGAGTTGTGAAAGTTGTGATTTTGCAAGGTTTTGATGTATTTGTTGATGATATGACATTGATAGGATTGTGAAAGTTGTGATGCTATAAGGTTTTGCATTATTTGTAGCTGGTAAGTAGCTGTTTACTTATGTATTTAACATGAGAATTAAGTATTTACTGAAAAACTTATATGTAAACCGATTCCATGCAAGTCCTATGCAAAATTGTTTTTAAAGTTATCTTGTGAGTTGTGTTGCTCTCATTGACTGCAAATTGATAAGTACATCAGATTCAGAAGGTAAAGAGTTGCAAATCCTGAATGATCTAGTTTGATTGTGGTTGGATTCAAATTCAAAATGGTTCAATTCTATTGTAATTAGGTGTCAGTTCTATTTCAAATCTCATTCAATTGAATTTTGATATTTATTAAATTACATATGTAGTCTATTTATTCTACCTGGAATTCCAATCCAATTCTAATTCATTTGCCTTTTAATTTCTATGTAGTTGATGTTTAAATCTAATATAATTCTAGTTGTTCTTCTAATCTGTGATCACACCCCCAGTAACACCCGCTTTCTAGAATGAAATCAAAGTTGAATTACAATTCCATTTGCATTGAATTAGAACAAAACTTGCATTGAACTAGAATCGAAAAAGAATCAAAAGAAAACTAGTCAACATTAAATTGAACAAAAAAGAATGAAACTAGACTTTAAAACAACTGAATTTGAGCTGTATAAAATTTAAACTAGCGTAAACTACAATTCAATTACAATTAAATTGAGACAAAAAAACTAAAATTGAAAATACGTTAAATTAGAACTAAAGTCGCAAAAACAAAAATAAAGTTAGGTTCAAATTCGAATTGCCCTGCAATTAACTAAGATTGAATCAACATGTCGTTCTTTAAACTAAAGCTGAACTAGAACGAAAATAGAATTGAAATAGAATTGCTTAACCTGCAGCTCGATTAGAAATTCAATTAAAAATGAATATTGAACTTCTAGATATAGGTAATGAGTTTCAATTGAATTAGAAATCAGTTAGACTCAATCAACTTTGATTTTAGAGTAGAAGCAAGTTCAAAACTCAATGTAGAATTAAAGTAGAACTCAATCAAGCTCAAAGTCGAATTTCAAATCCAGATCTAAAATTAAGTTAGTTAAATGAGAATTAAATTAGAATTCAACAGAATTAAGTAATATTAAAAGGTCTACTTTTATGAACTCAATTCAACTTTTGTTGAAAAAGGGAACAAGTACGCAAAAATTGTAAGAAACTTAAAAAATGAATTAGATCTAAACTAAGTCAACTAGAAATAAAAAATGATTATGTTTCAACTCAAACCTAAACCAACTTCCAATACAGTATAATTGAACTAGGCTTGTTTTAGGTGTCACGCCCACTCGCGACCCGCAGCGGCGCGCGCGTTTGGTGGAAATCATATTTCGGTTGTTGGGGGGGGTGGGGGGGGGTTCAGTTACGTCGTTCAGTTACGTCGTTCACGGAACGTCGTCACGGAAACCAGCGGGTTCAGTTACGTCGATACGTCGTCGTCGATACGTCCATAGCACCGCAGTTTTGGCAGCTCAATGCGTTCGTTGTCCCTTCGTTGTTGTGTGTCTTTGTGTGTTGTGATTCTTCTTCGTTTGACTCGTCGTGACTCGTCTTTTGTCTTTCCGTCTTCGTTGTTAATTTTTTACTTGGACAGTTTGCTGGACCTGGCGACGTCGGTCAAGGATTCACTAGGTGTAGCCGCGCTCGACATTTGTTTAGATCCGGACCGGTGGGTTTTAGAATTCGATTCTCTCGAGGTGTACGGTGAATTTTTGTGGTTGTGTTGGGTGTCCGTGTGGGACCAATTCAACAGACAATCGTTCGTACCACCGACGGTCACGGCCGCGTTGTTTGTTTCGAGTCGGCGACTTCTTCGTTTTCGCGACTTGTCGGTGGCTGCCATGCCGGAATGTCTGGCACGGTGCGTTCAACGGGTCGCACACCGTCTCCAAGCGATCTTCCTCAGAAGAGCTTTGGAAGCACGGAGTATTGATGTCGTGGTTCTATTTTTTAGCACTGACAAGTACTACGGGGAGATTCGATTGATGAAAACAAAACATTTTTCGGAGAGTCTCGGAAATGTTACCTCCCTGAGGCAACTCCAAGTCCTCGTACTTTGCATTCCTCAAGAAGTTGAAGCCTGGAAATCTGGCCATGTGGGCCAAAGGGTGCCCAAGTACTTCTTGCTAATTTACATACGGATTGCGGGTGCCAGTCAGAGGGGATTGTCGAAGCTGTGCATTGCTAAGTTGCCTTATGTGTTGGTGGCTCCAAAAGCGAAGCCACCGGTGGAGTCGAAACAAGATGTGCAGGCTTCGAGATTGTTCGCTCGCATCAACGCTGGCACCACATGCTACACCGATGGCAACCGGTCTTGGAAAGCTGTCGCCAAGGATGTCAAGAAGCAGATTTTGGTGAAATCCGTCAGCCACCGAAATGCGCAATTCACGAAGAACCTCAAGGGCCCCAAGCGCAAGGGCGCTTCTGCTATCGGTGGGACTCAGCAATTAGATCGATGCTGGCACCACTTGAAGCGCTTCGTTGCTTGCAACCTCAAGACGAAGGTCAAGAGGCAGATCAATGCTGCTATCTTGGACAAAGCATGACAAAGCGTTCCAGTTTGTGTGGAGGTACAATGCCTCCACGCAAGATGCCACGGAAAGACTGGCGTCCTTGTAACCTGAGTTGTGCGAAGAAAAGTCGGTTTGCAACTTTTTGGGGGTTGGACAGAAACGTACACTTGTAAATCCCCTTAGAATTTCAGATCAACGTCCAAAAAAGCGGGGAATTGTGGAGCGAAATGAACATGCGAACATATGGGACAACATTGAAAACATTGTGAAGGACCATGGATGCATTTCAAATGACCTGAGTGCTGTGTGCACGACTACGCGGGTCACTCGGGGTCGTGTTACCTTGTTTTACTTAGAACGCGGTTAGGTTTGAATTGAACTTGTTAGAATTGAGTGAGAAGTACGAGACAGAACTGGTATGCAAAAAGTTATCACAAACCATCAAAGACCAAAAACAAAACTGCAAACCCCATGAACCATCCCAAGACTTCAAACACAGGGTGTACAGTTTTGTTTTTGTTGTGGTTTTCTCGAGGTTGTGTTCATTTTCAAAGTTGCAAAAGCATGAACAAATTCTCTGGCCATGGGGCCAGCAGTTTTTTTAGTTGTTTTGTTTCCCCTCAAAAACAAAAACAAAACTGCGGACCTCATTGGGGCCTCTCTCCTGTCTGACTCTCTGGCCATGCGGTCTGCAGTTTTATGTTTTTTGTTTGTCAAGGCTTTTGAAGTTTTGTTCTGTTTGAGGTTGTCTATCGTTTTTGGGAATTGCATTGATTGTAAGCAGATGCTCACAGATGCTCACAAAGACACTGTTTTGCGCACGCTGGTGGTAGCCTGTTCTGTAAAAAGGGGCCCACACATCACTGAACAAGCTGACTTGTTCAAATTGAATGAATTCAATATAAACTTCCGACAGCAAACAAACTGCAGCCAGGTCAACACAGATCGTCTTACTTTGTCTCTACCCAGCAAACCCCTCCTAGAAACAAACCTGCAGGCCCGCGGTTGTGTTTTGACCGTAGCGCTAATATAGTAGTTTTAGAATGTATTAGACAGTACTGGTACAGAATGGCTACTAGTAGTATTGGTCCAAATTGGTCCTACTAGTAGGAGTAGTAGTCGTCGCCGTTGTCGTCGTGGTGCCGGTGGTAGGGGTAGTGGTAGTAGTAGTAGTAGTGGTAGTAGTAGTAGCGTCGTCGTCGTCGTCGTAATAGTAATATAGTATTCACAACAACAACAACAACAACAACAACAACCACGACGACGACAACAACAACATGGAAACTCCTTCTCTTATTGGGATGGCAAACTCAGCGGTATAAACTACTGTAAAAGGTCTCTCCCCAAAATTAGGAACCCCCCTGGGACCCCCTGCCCTCAAACACTTGGATTTGCTTGCATGTCTATATAACACTATGGAATGAAGGAACCGTTGTGACAGGAAACGTGTTCGAATCACGACCCATCAGGGAACTTGTCGCCAAGATCTTCTACCAATTCCAGACACTCCATGGGACTGGCATATTTGCTTACATTGGGGTGGTTCAGGGGTCAATGTGGGCATATATTCCATACAGAGCGCCCAGGAATTATAGTTTGACTCACTCACGTGGAAGTGGATGGTATAGTCAAGTGCGTTGGGAAGACTATTGTACTTTTTACCAACAGCGGCATGTCCACTTCCATGTTAGTGAGTCGCAGGAGTCGCAGTGTGTTCGAAAGGTTGAACTAATCCACCGCTGGTCCGCTGGTTTTGGAATAAAGTCAAGTATTTTTCTTGTGCATGAGGAATTCCTCACTGGTGATTCCTTTTAGGTGTCTGCATTCCAATCGGCGCGAGACAATGGTCCTATCGCTTTGGGGAGGTGTTTCGGCGTCCAATCGCCGCTCCACGGAGCGGTGACCAATGGCGACCAAAGCCATGGGACTCAGGAGCTCAACCGTGGTGGGCTCCACGGTGGTGTTCTGCCCCAACACCCGGTGTTCGGCCCAAAACCGCAGAAACCCAGGGTGTTGGCTCGTTGAAAAGGTTCCATGGCGCTGGTGTGACTCCTCTAATCCATTTCTGTGATGCAGTGATGCCCTCTCTCAAACAATCATGGAAATGGCCCCGCGGCAGACCAGTCATGCCCCGGTTTACGACCATCTTCCACATCCTTCAGAAGGGTTTCTATGTCTTGATGCGGGAGTCAAACATCAACCCTGCGGATCTTCGCACTGCCAGTAGTCATGGCCAGCCTTGTGGCCCGATCTTCAGCTTGCTCGCATAGACACGTCCTTCTGAGCCAGCAGCATCCCTTTTGCCATACTTGGTGTCTGCGGTCCATGAGAAGTACACCGTGTCGGCCTGGAGGGGTTCAGCAGCTTCAGCCAGGTTTCAGTTGGGAATGATTTGACCCGCAAGCCGCAAACACCAAGTGAGTGGCCAACGTGAAAGCGTGGTGCCGCAGGCCTGTGAATACATGTCATACCCCACGCTCTATGGGACTGGCGTATTGACCAATCAGTTGTGCGTGTGTTTCTTTGTGTTCTTTTTTGCCCAGGTCCATCTATTGGTAATTTAAGGGTAAACACACCAGTCCCATGGAGCGTCTGCGAAGAGAACCCCATCAAGCAGAATCATGACCCTCATAATGATCAGATGTATTTTTGGAGAAGACCTGATCAGAATCAAGAAAACAACCATCCAACTTCTTTGACTCCTGATCCTATGTCACTCCAACGTCCTGGGCCATCGAGCATGCGAGCTGGGTCGTTTTGCACCCAGCGGACGGGTCGTCCGCTAGATGTTCAAATGGTTTAAAAACCTGAAGGTGTTGCACCCATGGCACCCATGTAATAATTATTACAGCCAATAGTATATATCATATCGAATGTTAATTTGTGGCTTCATGATATCATTCTGTCATTACACAGATTCAGAGACCATATACACTAGCACCCCATGGCTGTGAGGGTCAATGTCCTTTAATTAATATCCTTCAATGTGTAGGTCTTGTGGCTGGTACAAGACAAACAACATGGGTATGGCCGGTATGGCTCCGTATGGCTGTGTTTTTTTTTTTAATGGTTCTTTGCATGTTTGATCTTCGCGAAACCAACACCACTTCCTCAGCCACCAAAACTTACATGCCAAAGGTGCTTAGGTTCTTAAAGTTCTTACGTGGTAAGAAATGTCTGAAAAAGCTTGGGCGTGCTCCCAACGCATGTTCATTCTCCCAACCAACAACCCTCCTCCCAGTCTTCCGCGCCTTTGTCCGATCAGACACGCCCTGCATGGGTGAGGGCCCGCGGAAGAGGTGTCCATGACGAGCTGGACCTGCAAGGAGAGAAGCGGAGCCCTCGAAGGAGGGTCGGAGTCCCAAATCCTGGACTTTCACCATGCAAATCCGGAAAATGATACATATCATATACATCTCCATCAGGATCCACGGCTCAGTCAACCCGAACCATGGCGGAGGTTGAAGTCTTGGGGATTGGATTTGACTTCTGAGGCTTCGGGATACTTCTGAGGCTTCGGGATATACCTGGACTCTGGACCATCCAATGGGTGCCCCACGACCCTGCACTACTTATAAGGATCTCCATGGGACACCCGATGGTGGTATGTGACCCAAGGAGACCCACACGACGGGGCGATGAAAATCATCAAACGTAACCAGAACCCGTCCATACACACACTGGCAGGTACCTGGACCATGGACCCAAAGTGATTCATGATGCATGGAGTTGTAATTAGGTGTTATAAGGTGACAAACATGATAATCAACCAACAACACGTGAGAAAAACACCATGGGAAGGATGGTACCCTTTCATGGCAAAACACCTCTGACATGCCCCACTCATTTTCGATCGCCATCACCCCGATGGACTGCAACAGTCCATCGTGCGTGCGTGGCGTGAAAGCTTTCGGTAAAGGACTTGACCGAAAAGATCCGAAAAGACACACACCAGCAAAGACCAGTTGCAGCTCTGGCTTTCACAAATTTACATAATAATAGTGAGTGCCTTGTGAGCTGTAAGATATGGCTCGATAGATTCATCACCAAGAATCAGAAAGTGCCTTAAATCCCATGTTTGCTGTTCCCACGTCCATATGAATAGACGTGCAGTCGATCTCAAACATGTTCAAAAACACCTAAACTAATAGGAAGTTGGGCGTTCCCTTTTGTGCCGACTCTAGTCTAGTGCCCACAAATCGTGTTCGCTACTACCGGTCTTCTCGTCATTCCGAAAAATCGTGGCCTGCAATGAGCTCGGGCAAGCAAATGGTCGACACTGTCAGGGGCCCATAGACCTGAACAGCTGAGACTGACCGGCGCTGAGAATGCTGGAATCCACTCACCTGGCGCTGTAGACCAGCGAAGAGGTCCTAAACCCTCACCTTCCAGGTCCGTTCAGAAGAGGGTCCCAGGATTTCTCGGGCGGTGACCTGAGAAGACGGCACGCCTGAAGCAGGTGTCTCTCATCTGGAGCTTTGATTCCTACTGAGGAATCAAGGGATCCAGTACCTCCGAGGCGGTACTGGGAGTTTTCTCAGGGCCAGGTTCCCCAAATTTCAGTCTTGGTGCCCCGCCCATGCCCCGCCATGTCCCGCCTCCTCTTGGCTATAGCAGCCAAACTGGTCCGTCTCCGGCGGCCTCTCGCAGCTGCGCCCGGCGTAGCCACTGAGACACGCGCAGGTGCCATTGAGGCATACGCCACCGAAAGGCTCATTGCAGCTGGTCTTCGCGCAGACGCCCAGCTCACAGAAGTCGCCTTGTACTCCAGAGCCACAGGCGCAACCTGGTGAAGAAAGAACATGGATCTTTGGGAATTCCACAGATGGTGGCTGCTTCCATCTAGCCCCGTCATGAACAGCCTCCCCAGTGACCAGAAGCATACGCCTGGCTCTACTGATAGTCCTCTGAGCCAGGTCAACCGAACTTCATAAAAGGCCAATGCATCTGTGACGCTTCAAGAGTCTTGCGAATGGCGCTTTATGGGATTTAATGGCGCCAAACAGTGCGCTAAACGATGCTGATGTCTATTGAAACGATCTTGTAGAGGAGTGGTCAGTGACTCTTTCAACAAATAACTTGATCGACGTTGGATTAGATTCGCCCCTTAAACAGATCAAAGAAGTATGTTCAGGCTGTGGAAAGAGCAAATAGATCCTCGGCCATCTGAGGGCGACTGGCGTTACTGCGCAGTTTTTCAGGGTCAAACTCGTTGTGCAGGAACTCGCTGCCACGGTCTCCACAGCTGTAGGGATTTTCGTAGTGGCTAGAAGAACTGCAAAAGCCATTGACCCCACAAGACCTTACTTGTCCAGCGAGAAAATTGCTACACTCCCTGGAACTAACATGGAAGTGGAAAGCCCTCTGATTGGTCTTCTGAAAATGGTCTTCCGAGTAGGGCCATTGTCCACCGTCCATATTAGTTCCAGCGAGTGTAGATGCCAGCTTCTGGTTTTGGGGCATATGGACTTTCTGCACAGAATGCATCACTCCTCCTATGGACAAGGTCCGGCACCGTGACTCTCCACTATGTTTCTCTACAGCGAAATAAAGAGAACATGATGAAAACATCAAAGGTTACACACCCAACCCATCCATGTATGCGGAATAGTTATATACATCCCTTTACATGTATGTACCACGGGTAACTATTCCACATATGGATCTACTGGGATGGTTGGACAACTGAGAGACAGTTCACATTCACCACAGCCGTCCAAGGACTTCTCAAATTCCAGCGTCGAAAAGCGCGCTTGCGGCTTCTTTGCAGTAGGATCTCCCTGGATGGAAACCTCAATCATACCACTCTGTGTTGGAATGCACTTGAAGTGGTAGATGTCAGTGATCGTGTGATGACACGACGTGGTAAAGTCCCTTTTCACGAGCTTTCCATTGATCATGATATTCATCTTGGCGCCACCATTCCGATTCTTCTCACAGAACTGGTACTTCACCGTGTAGTAGCTCACTTTCGCCGAGGCATCCTGGAGATTGGCACGGAAGGTTTGGTTCGGCGCATCTGCCTCGCGACTGTAGTGTTGCAACAAGGCATCCTTGGATCTGAGGCGCGATGGGGTCTTTCACCCGTTGTTCTGTAAAAAAATTATCGCTCATGAGCCACGAAAGGGGTGTCGGCTAAGGGCCCTTAGCCTGCCCTGAACGAGCTGGTCTTAGATGGGTGATTTGGGGTGTCCATGAACGAAAACATCTCAAACTCGCTACGGCTTTCAATTGTTCCCTTCAGATGACCTGCCCATCCGCCGATGCTGTCCCCCAAAACATCGATTCTTCACGCTCAAAAGATCCGGCTAAAACCAGGTCTCGTAGTCTGGCTCATATTCCGCTGGCCAGTTCCGGCATCTCATGCGGCCGAGGCTTTGGTTCCCGTTCCTTGGGACCCCGCCGAACGATCGTCCCTGCCCACCGGTCGGTTTAAGAGTGACCCATTTGGGGCTCGGTGCTGCAAGGTGCTGCCAATCCACGGGGAGAAGGCCCCAAAGGGAGCCCACTACCACCAACCTACACTCGGCGTAAAGCTCGAGTGTAGAACGATTAATTAACCTAAAATTAACATAACAAAGACATTTTTGAAGCCTGTTTGTATCATGTCGTATCTACATCTACTTCAGGTAATTAAAGCGGTAAGCCACATACTCCAAGTAAACTAAGAATCAGATAGGCCGTATTGGTGTAGTCCCTGGGTTTGAAAGCCACATATCCTCCCCAGCCAGTGGGAGTCCACTTCTCTTTGGTGTGATGCCACCGGCGCCCCAAATGGTCCACGTAGTCCTCGCTGAATCCTCCGTTGATGCCTAGCCATTCCTTAGAGTTGATCATGAATATCTTGTCGAGAAAAGAACAAGACAAAGACAAAAAAAAGTACATCCAATATTGAACCCAGCATGGAACTATTGAAGCCCGAAACAATATTGAAGCCCGAAACATCCAATATTGAGCCTACGCCCAATCCAAAGAAAGGAACACCTAAACCATCCTATACTATAGAAACCAAACCCACCAGAACCCAAAAGAAGTGAAGGTCTAAACTAAGTGAAGCCTGAAGCCCTGAAGCACTCCTTCTCCTTCTCCTCCTTCTCCTTTCTTTCATCGATTGTTATGTATTATCCTGCTTGCTCTTGTGCTTATTCATGTTATATTGTGAAGTGGTATCGGGGTTTCCTGACTCGGACGATCTGGTGAACCCAGACTCACGGTTTCCTGACTCTGCCTTCTCCTATAAACCAGCACCAACTGGATCCAATTGGTTGCAAGTTCCCAGGGGTGATTACAGTATACAGTACATCTCTGAAATGTATCATAGTATGTCTCATACTTATTTTACCATATATTCATACAAATATACATATATATATATATAGATTCATATGCCCATGTTCTACGTGCTTCTTACTGTCAGTAACCCAAGCAACGCAAAGTCTGCTTACTGTGAGTTCCAGATTCCAGACCGGGGCCTTGCGGCACCACGGCAATGGCCTCGCGCAACATGAGGACCATGGTCAAGAAGCTCCCAAGTGCCATGGCGACGAGCGGCGTGTCGCAGCAGGTAGTGGGCCAGCAGGTACTGGATGAAAGCGAAAGCAACGTCCCTGTTGAGATGGAACTGTCATGCGAAGTCATAGGTTTTTTCATGCAAAGTCGTGACTTTGGCCCTTGAGAGATGTGTCCCCATGGTCTTCCAAGCTTGGTGACTGTCATTCTGTCATTGATGATCGAATGGGAAGCGTGGAACAAACTGAAAGCAAATTGGCCAAGAAAAGCACAGCTTACACATGTGGAAAATAGCATTGTGAATGGAGTTCTTGCGGACAGTCCATGATCGTGATCTTTCAAGTAGGATAGGGCTGGATAGTATATACATCTCTCAAGCTGACAATTACCATGCGATTGGCATGCTAAACATAGACTGTCTGACTCGAGGCCCTTATTGTATCCGCATGGCCCTTAGGCAATCCTTTCTCTGAAAATGTTATTGCATAGAATCATCCGTGTCATTACAAAGTAAGCGTCTCTGGATGAGCCATCTCGCCATGTGTCAGTGTTGACTTCGGGGAAAAGGGTTATATATTGATTAAATGTCCAACGACCGAACAAAACACCACTCCTGTGGCAAAGGATCTTCTGCACACTCCTTTGCCGGGAGTGGCGGAAGCTTCCATGTCTGCAAAACCATCCGTCGTTCCACCCATCCGTCGGAACCACATCCACCGACATGCCTCCACGGCTGAAAAATGGATGCGGGCCGAGAATCGGAGACCCGGACTTATCACTCGACGTTTCACCCTCGGCGAACTCCATCCAACGCGCGACGCGCACCTCGCCACGCCCAGTGGACCGGAGCCATGCAGTTCCGCTGTGCAGAGCAGCTGTGCATAGCTGCGACCGCTGATCCGCGTCTCCTCGCTGATCGCGATCGAGTGGGGTCGAGTCGAGTCGAACCGGGGGATGGTGGGGGACCTGCGGAGGCAGTGAAAGGATCCATCGAAACCGCGCAGTGAGGTCTATGGGATGGACAAGCCCATCTGGTCGGTCGATCTGGTCCTGTATGTTTATACCAAAAAAAATGGACCCCAAAATATCCAGCTCTTATTTTGGCATTTGGGACGCTCCCGCAGGAAACCCAGCGAGCATGGGTTTCTTCTGGAAATTTTTGTGTGCAGGCAAGAGATGGATAGACTGGTATATTTCCCTCTCTCTTCAAAGGACATGCAAATGACATATAAATATATAACTGACATAATATTATATATATGTAACATCGGAACGAATTATGGAATGTACAGTACTGTCTGGTGTCTGATCATGTCTGACCTCTTGTGACCCTGTCCGGTCAGCCATCCAAGTCGCCCAAATACGTGCAAATATGAAGTATTTCAGGGTATACCCTGTCGGTCCATGGTCCTACTTTGTAGGGTCCCGGGAATTTCGGTAGAAAGTTGTCTTAAAAAGTACGTGCCCAGCACCTCATGGCTGATGTACTTTTAAGGTCCCGGACCTTAAAAAGTACTGCTATTGATGCATCTGTAGTATGTATGCCCAAAAAAGACTGACCATGTGCGCTGTAAACTGTGGGACCGTGAGAAGCCTGAGAAACCGTGAGCAGGACGTTAAAGAGAAACCGTGGGATCGTGAGAAAGCGTGAGCAGAACCGTGAGAAAGCGTGAGCAACTGTGAGCGTGCAATCAGCAGCGTGGACAAGGGGAAAGGAACCAAGGAACAGCTGATGGAAAAACGGGCAGCTGATGGGACCCCATCTTATGTTTTGTTTCGGCCGTGGAAGTTCGGCGTTGACATGATTTTTCGGCGAATATACTTTCTATAGGTCCACTTCGGCTGAGGACTTACTTTGTAAGGTCCCAGGACTTCCAGGTGGACACCCGAACTTTCGCCCCCGAACTTCCAGGTCGACTGGTCTATCTGAACGCCTGGCAGGTCATTGTTTCGCTACCCCCATTCTGGTCGAATCGGATCGGTCATCTGAGTGGAAGACTTGTGGATCACTCGAGTCCTCAATTCCACGGAGTCGGAGTCGAACGGAGTCCGTTCTGAGCCCTTCGGCACGGTTGTGGCGCAGCGCCACCCGTCCGAAGTCTTCTGACTCGTATGGGCTCAGTCTGGTGAGTTGATCAGTGACTTAGAGATCTTCAGAGATCTTCAGAGTCCAGTGTTGAGGGGTGTTCACATCAAAAGCATATCGAAATCAGTGAACATCCACCTCTGCGGCTTTCAGTGCTCCGTCCCGTGTCAGCTCCTCTGACAGGGCCAAGGCTTGCCTGCGGCGCAATCTCGATCAAACTCTCAGACCTAAAGGTTCAAGGAACCCTCTCCTAAGAAACAAGAGAAATGAACTATATAATTACCCTCCCTCCAACAATCATAGAAGTGGAAAATGGTCTGTTAGTAAAAGAAGACAGTCTTCCAAGGGGCCGTGTTCCACTTCCATGTTTGTTGGATGAAGGGTAACAAGACTTTCTGGGTCTCGAGTTGGCCATACCGAATGTACTCCTCTCTTGCAAACCAACATTGACCTCAAAACTACCATGTGTACCTTTCAGGTTGCCCATCCCTGTTGCCTGATGTTACCTGCTTTCTGCCTCGACTCACGGAGCTTTCTCACCCCGTGGCTGGACGAGGCACTTAATGAATCTTCCCCAAGCCAGCCTCCAGGACTGAGCTTCGAGCAAGCTCAGGACAACGGCCTCAAGCCTGGGCGGATGGTAAGGGGCTTCAGTTCACATCTGCAGGATGCGATCACTTCATAAACTTTCAGGAAGAAACCCATCAAAAGCATCATGCCCTGAGTCCTGAGAACGACCCGGCGAAGCATAGAAATCCCCAAGTCAGTAAAGATTCCCAGATCGACCCAGCATTCTGTTCATCATTTGGTTCATAGAACGGCAGTGGAGGGAATAAGGTGTTTGTCTTTTGAACCAAGGCTTGGCTGCCACAAGCCAGTTACCCCTGTGGTAACTTGTCTGGCACCTCTAGCTGCTCTATATAGCTGAACATTTCTCAGCCCTCAGGATCAATATGCCAACTGGTAAACTACCACTGGTTAACATGTCTCTTTTCGCAACAGGTAAGTAGCTAAGTAGCTTAGGTCCTGGTTCTTCAGCCCCGACCACGAAGGACCCCGATCCACATCGGAGCCCAAAGGGACGTGGAGGGAGGCCGCCGAGGCTGCCGAGGCCCGAACGGCGTGGGATCCTGGAAGGGCATCTCCTCGTAGAGCTGCAAAGACCACCTCCACCTTGGAAACATACCAGTCATGCTGGCAGTCCCACATGGTGAACAAAAGAAGAAGCTGGTAGAGTAGGGCTGTCAGGATTCTTTCGGGCAGTGACTTGCTGCATCTGCTCGCTGGCGTGCTTGGGAACATCATTGAGGCTGGAAACTCTGCATGAATCGATCTCTCTAACTCCCAGGGATTCTGACAACTCTACCCAATTCCAAAGACCAATCTGATTCTTCTGATTCAACATGCTTCATTTGGACCATTGGATTAACCCATGTTAGAGATTGCTAAGGAAGGTGTTGTTTTTTTCTTTTTTTCTTTTTTCGAGGCAACTACCACTTTCTCTTAAGCCGAATTCATTCTACAAGCTAAGCTACATGCGAAAGCTTGAAACCTGGAGTTCACCGGTCGGCTTTTTTTGCACAAGGAAGGAGCCAAGGGAAGCCCGAGGAGGGCCCCCACATCTGACGCAGTCTGATGCCAATTTTCGTCGTGCGTTCACGAACTCGGCGGAACAGTCGTCCGAACGAGGTCCGAACGCTTCTCGGACGTTCGTCGGACCGGAGGTTTGTCCCAATGTGTTGGGGTGTTTCGGGGCCCGTGGTGGGGACTTCACTTCGCCCCCCTCCTTCCAGTGATTGGACCCCTCTTTGTCCGAACTTCTGAGTCACTGGGAGGAGCTGAGGCTGTGGATGGCTGCACCTCAGAGGGCACCAGGGAACGACCGGTCGGAAGAACTCCAAAGCAGCGAAACACGGATGTGGATGTGGGTGCCAAAACCACTCTCTCGGGTAGCGCCATCCGGATGCCTGTATAAGTGGAAGAAGGTGAAGGCTGGGGCCACGCTGAAGGCGATTCCGGCTTTGCTCCACTTCAGTGTTTGAGGAGCTTGTTCCAGCACATGTGATTTTGTGACTCGAGGCAGCTCGAGGAGCAGGTTGGGTTCTCTGAATTTGCTTCCCAAATCCACTGAATGGAGGGATGAATTGAGATGAAACCAAAATTGGGCAACCCCCAATGTGCCACCGGAGGGCGCCCAAGGAATTGGGCTCTGGAGGGACCCCATTTGGGAGACTTGCTCAAGGCCCATTCCTGCCAGCTACTTCCTTACAGGGTCTCCGATAGACTACCCTGCACTGTCTGTGGGCTTCCATTCCGCACCCATTGGCTATGTCTTTTTACCCTACCGACAACTCCAAAGACCAAGTAAAAAGTGTTTTTGCATGACCGACCATTTCCAGTAAAATGAGGTCCAACTGACCTCGTTACATCTCCCATGGTCCGATCTCACTGCGCCAGCGACGGTAGATGATCTTGTCGGGCTCCTCGTGGCCTGCAGCAGCGGCTCCGTCAGGGGAATCCACTGGTCCGAACATGTCCGAAGGACCCGGAGGCGCGAACGCCGAGAGCCCGTTCACGCGTGCGAACAAGAGCCCTTGCAGCAGCGGGTGAACGAGAGCCCGAAGACGCCGAAAAAGGAGGTGAGTTCTTCTTTAAGGGATCTTTGAGGCCCCTGGGAGAAATGCAATGGTGTCAATGATTGCCGACTTTGGGGTGCTGGTAGATAGAAGTGGAAGATGGCCTCCCCCATCAGTTCCTACCACCAGTACGTTTGGGATGGTCCTATACAGTGTACAGGTAAGGCTATGACATGCTATGACCATTGGCTACGATTTCGACTGTTGGGGAGGTCAAGCCACATGCGACCTGTCAACCCAAAGCAAAACATCTGAGGGCCTGAGGCCGATCGAAGGGCGGCAAAAAATGTGTGTTTTCTGCGCGTTTT